TATATATATATATATATACCTTCACCTTCAGACGACTCAACAGTTTTGGCTCCAAGCATATTAGCAGCAATATTCACCATACTTAAGATAGCATCTGAAAGAGAAAACAACTAATCAGAGAGGATATATTCAGAGGGCCCAGCGATTAGTACCACTGAGCAATCTGCTATTTTGTAACACCTGCTTCAAACTAATCACAGCATAAGGACGTACAAAAAATCCAGTCATTCTATTACACTGGATGTATCTGTTGCTTTTAAAGGATAAGTTTATAAGCTAAAAACCTGTATCTGAAAACCCATATCTAACTTTTACCAGTCATTGCCTATTGAAGCCTTCTTTTTTCAGTTGGCTTCTACACAGCTAAAACAAAGTTTGTTTGTCCCATTTCCAATGTAAACATTGAAAGAAAAGCTCAATACACAGTACCCCTCTGCTTAAGTTATTCAACTAAGGCTGGCTCCAGCAGCTAAGCAAAGTCTTCCCAATAACTTCCCAAACCTCTGCCTATGAACACCTCGGTACAAATCTCTACACGCTGCCTTGGGCTGCACTCTGAATGTGGTTTGTCTACATCAGCAGTAGGAAAGGAGATGTCCGGCCTCCCCATTCAAAACTCCCTCACAGAAAAGGCTGCAACAATTTCCAAACTAAGTCAGCTAGAGCAAGCCTGTGTCATCCAGCTAGCCCCTCCAACACCAGTGAGAGAGAAGTACTTGCTGATCATTTACCCATGGAAAGCAAGGAACAGCAAGACAAACAGAAGAATATTTCAGCATGGAATTTTCTGACAATCTGAGTGTGTGAACCATTGAGGGAGGTGCCAAGCCAGAAATTTAGAGCTTCAACACCCAAATGGAGGAACTCTATTAGAGACAAGTTGGATCATTTGTCATAATAGCACTAAAGAAGTGAGTTAAGACATAGTCATTTGTTAACAAGCAAGACAGAATTTTGCCCTTGAACACAGGATGTCCACTGAAGGACAGATGCAGAAGTCTGAAGATTCATTCAGATTAGGTCAGACTCTTTTGTCATTTTGCATCATACCTCCTTAATTCTGAATCTTACATTTGGCTGATACTGCTGCAACATAACAATTCTAAATATTTTAAGATTTGAAAAAGAAAATCTACTCTTTACAATCTGTTACTTCGATGCAATTTAGATCAGTCAAGGCAACTAGAAGAAAACTATAAGAAATATCCACAGATATTTAGAGATACATATATACACTTAAGGATCTCTTAAATAGAACAGTTTTTCCCCCCCAGAAAATCACAGAAGTAAATGCAAAGAGAGTTTGCTCTGTATCGGAACATATATTAGATGCAGCAAACTCTTTGGTCTTGATATCGAAAGCAAACATCATTGCCAGGCTTATTGAGAAGATGAGGAACCTTACTGTAAACACACAAAAGTTGGCCCAATTTTGCCCATTTCTCCCCCATCCACCAACATACATCTGTACTGTACGTTACGTGGATAGGTCCATAAAGTTAAAGAGGCATTTTAGTAGTAATGGCAAATTTCTTAGACCCCAGGAAGCTCCATTCAGATCTTTGGTTTTAACTTTCCTCCAGAACGCATCAGAAAATACATCCCTGAATTACATATTTATCTGGGGCTGTATTCTTTGAAAAGTTATGACAAACAAAAAACGTTAAACTTGAAGTATGAATGGTTTCTTATTAGCGATGGAGAAGCAGAAAACGAGGAAGAATTAAGAGTCGGTATAGAAGCCTGCCAGTCTAGAACAGCAGGAGGAAGAACAGTGAGCTACCCTCACACGTTAGACTAGGGTAAGACTGCAAAATACTTCTGTGAGATAAAGTGTCTGAGAAGACCACCATCTCCTCCTCAGAGGTCCCTCTTCCTCACTCTATATCTGCCACTATTTAAGACAAACAATGCAAAATGGAAGCCCATCTTATTTGTCCAAGCATGCACATATAAAAAAAATCCATCACAAAAAACTGGACAGCCACAAACTCAGTATTCCTTCGAAAAAGAAACACTGATTACCCTGCCAGAGGTGAAAGTTCTCAAAAACAAGATCCACCAGCCAGCATTAAATAACGATCACTGCAATGTTTCAGTGCTCATCTGTCTAGCAGCAATAGGTGTTTCAAATCTTTTCATCTTCAAAAAACAGTACAAAAGTCAACTGTGTTTTTCAGATAGTGAACAAGAAACTTGCAAAACTGCACTTGCAGACAGAACATGTGAATATGCCTCATCAAGACAGCTTGAAGTTAGAAACTTTGAAAGCCACAGATAAAAGATAAGCAGTGTCAAGGAAGAACAGACTGCTTTCTCTCATCTCATTAGTGAGAGGCTAACGTTTAAAAATAAATTGCCTTTTCCACTATCCACTTCCCCTCTGAAAACTGCACTAAGCTGTGCAATATTCCTAGCCAAGACCTTTTTGGTTTTAAGTGATGACCACGTTCTAGGAAATTGTAGCAAAGAACTCTGCAGCTCTGATCCACTCTAGGATGAAAGGAAAGCCTGAGCCCAAAGAGCATTCATTCCGAGTGTAAATCTACGCTACAGTAACAAATCTTCACTAAATAGGACAGAAGGAAGAGTGGCGCAGTGTGTAAGAGCTCTTTAGAAGAAATTGTGTGGCAGCTGATACTATCCTAAATAATTCAGCAGTTAAGAACACCTGTAAAACTGAATATCCAAGTATTCTTAGCCAAACAAACCCCACATCTGGAGGTTTTCCAATGGAAAAGTGACAAGAGACAGTCAAAACCCGTTAGTTCTCTCAAAAACATACACGGCTCTTATGAAGAGAATGAAAGCTACAATATTTACATAAAGCCTTCTCAGAAACAGTGTTCTCCATCCCTTCCTTTCAAGCTGTACAAAGTAAATCTTTATGTTGCCTCCTATAGTACCTTAATTAAGCAAAGATTTCCAAGTTCTGAATAATTAAGGTCCTACAGCACTTTAATACCGGTTATTTAGACCTACATAACATTTGTATTACTTTAAGTGCTCAGGATCCTTAAGTACAGAAAGCAAAGTTTCCAAAAATCAGAGATCCTTAGAACTGAAAGGTTCTATTTTTAGAACACTTTAAGAACAATACCCCAACTTTGAACTGTTACTATTTATTCCTATGAAATTAAACAGGAATCACAATAAATTGTTTCAGCAGAAAAATAAAGAGTCATAGCTGCTGCCTGACAAAGTGTCATTCTACTTTCAAGTAGCTCATTTTGTTTCAGCACAGCAATACTTTTTCTAAGAAATCATACTCACTTGTAGCAGAACCAAGGAGATTTTTTGAAGATTTTTCTTCTCCTGTATTATAATCCAATAGATAATCTATGCATAAAGAAGAACACTTATGATTATCAAAATTAAATGTGTCACGGGTAAAAAAAAAAAACAGTCAAGATTTAACATGTCATTCAACTATGTCAGTTTGACAGTGTGAAAATAAAGCTACGTAAATAAAGGTCAGAGATTACATACTGAAATATCAAGCTCCGAGTAATAAGAAACCTAGAGATTCAGGGTTCAAGCTTCAGTTTCCTGAGGATTCATGACATGAATGCAGCTCGCTGAGCTTTTTAGAGGGTTTTCCCCCCTCCTCCTCATGAGGACTGGAGATAGGTGTTTTCATATTTTTTATTTAAACACTAAGTCTGCGAGGCAAATTAAGCACCTTCCTAATCACTTGCAGCACTGATCATACAAACAATCTCAGGAAATGGGCTATAGCCTCTAAGAATAAAGCTGTTTCCATGAGCTGCTTTGATTATTTTAGTTATCCTTTACTACTGTCAGGGCATGAAGATATTATTGCCCAGCCTGCCAAATGAAATAGAGACTTATTACTACCATTTTAAAGTAACCCTCCAAATAGTTCTAACGCATTGTGTAAAAGTTAAAATGATTGTTGGTTAAGCCCAGAAATGCTGAAATACTGTCAACAAGACTAAGCGTAAAGTTAGCAGTCAAATCATTTAGCATATGCAGGAAACAAGAAGTCACCAGACTAGCACAAGACACATCTGAATGGGTAAAGACACAGAAATTATTTGCTTACCATAATCTTCATCAAAGAGTTCCTGTCGTTCAGACTGATACTGAGAATCAGCTATTTCTTCATACTCTTCGACCATGCTAGTACCAAATACCCTGTGAACAACATTTGAAAATAAAAACCTAGTATTAGTCTATTAATCATGTTAATTACTTGACATAATTTATAATTAGATAAGCAATATTAACATTATATAAAATGTAGCAAATAAGCAACAGTTGCTTTCAGTTAACCAAGATCAAGCAGCAGGTATGCTTATTTTCTCAACCTTGGATCCACAAAGTCCACTGTGTGCTTCCAAGTACCGCACCAAAACAAGATCCTGTTTTTAATTCCAGTAATTCCAAAATGACTTTTCCTCCTTTCTAACTTGAATTCATACCGAGACTTCCTTGCCTTAAGCTCTCCATGAGCTCTTACACATCCCGCTTCAGCTTCACCTATGACTAAATTTAGGAGTATCCATTCATGACTATCTCACTTTGCATTCTATATTCTCTTTGACCTGGTCTGCAAAAATCGAATCAATCCAATTTAAAGCAGCCTCGTCAACTGAAAATATGGTTTGGCTTAAACACTAGAGTTCCCAGGTTCAAGTCCTGACGTAGCTTTGACAGGAGAATTGGAGTTGTTTTTCTAGAAGCAGTATAGAGGCTGATTATTCTCTGAACTACACACACATGCCGTTGTTCCCATTTTGATATTCCAAGCATTACTAACTGTATGTACTTGGGGTGCCATGCAACAGAGCAGCTTCTCAAAAAACACCCACCACACCCGCTCTTTTTAGTTCAACACTTGCTCCTTGTTTTGCTTGGTCAGCCTTGAAATGCTCGCGGCCTCCTGTAAGGCTGCTCACACTCCTGTTTCCTAACACCCCAACCCCCCCCCCCCAAATACAAACTATTCCTTACATACAGGAGAATCACATCAAAAGATTCAAAGCTTCTTTAAACAGATGTGACGTGTGCTACACAGCAGGTAATTTAGGCTACTACTTCAATTCACAGTATTTCCAACTAACTTAACTATACTGAAAATTAGAACTTCTTACCCAAGTATTATTAGAACACACTAATCCTCACTGCAAGGAGGTAGAAAGACAAAGCAAAACAGTTAAGATATTACCTTATAAGACTTAAAGGACAAAAATGTTCCGATCCAAAGTGTGATATCAACTCCACCTAAAGAATAAGAGGTACTTAAAATAAAATTCCAAAGACCCAGAGTTAACATTTCATTTAACATCTACATCCAACCTCGAAATTGCAAGTTTTGTTTACTCGAGGGATTTGTAGATTGCCCATAACAGAAAAGACACTGAAAGATTTGTTCTTGCCATGCATTAAAGTGCTGAGTCGCAGCAGAGAACACCCCAAGCCCCATGCATTCATCATTCCAAAGAAGAGGTTGCTAACCTTTATGTACTTGATGAACATCTGAAGCAAGAAAAAGGGGAAAAAAAAAAAAAAAAAAAAAAAAAGATGTCAGTACAAAGGCTGAACACATGCCACAGGCAACTACAGAGTTTTGTTGGTTTTAATTCAGTACTGTAAATGCCTAAGAAGACAAGTTATGAAGGATAAGGTTCCAATACTACTTCATCTGCCTTAGGTAGCAAGATTTCATTTAGCCCTTGTACCTTGCAGATAGAAGGTAACATGCAACAAGTGTTTTATTAATGAACTTACGTTATTCAGTTTTTCTAGGCAGCATGATTTCAGAGAGAATACTGAAGTGTGTTAAATTTACTAAGAGTATTTTTTTCCCTTAAAGAGCACAGATTACAGAAAGTGACTCAAAAGGAAAAAACCTTCATAGCATGCATTCTCTGTACTGCTGCTGCTTCAAGTTCAATATAACATGCTTCAATTTATAGAAACACTACTGGAAGAAAATGTATAGAGCATCTGATGATACATTTGGAAGCTTCAGTCATCTGTGTATTTATAGTGGGAACTTGACTACACACCAATATTTATTTAATCTAAATTAATCTGCAAGTGTAGAATGCATTTGTTTGACCACTATGTAGACACTAACAATGAAGGATCGTAATAATCTGCAAGTGAGATCAAGAAAACTAATCACATAAAAACACTCTTAATAGAAAATTTTCTATTATTTTTGATACAAGTTCATTAAGCCACTTCAAAAAAATCAAACTTTTAAAAAAATTTTTTGGATTCTTCCTCTGTGGACTAGGCATGCTTAGAACTTGCTTACTTTCTGTGCTATAAAAACATTACAAAAACCATCCTCTGAAAATGTTAGCACGCTAAATTATTCAAGGCAGAACACAGTATTCGCCAAGGGATGAAGTGCTGAAGCATCTAACATAACTCTGGAACTTCAGTGACATGCAGGACTCCAGCTACCTTAAGGCATTAATTCAGCCAGAAAGCAGAATTAAAAATAAATGAAATCTTTATCCTGTGACTCATGCAGAATTTCTGGGTAGAGAAGTTAGATAACTATCATTCATAGCTACTTCTTCATGAAAGCACAAATCGTAATTCAGTAGCAAAAAAAAAAATAAATTTTTTTTTTTTTTTTGCAAGAACCATAACTGGAAGATAACACATCACTACAGAGGACCTAAAAAGTCTGTATTTTACTTGAATTTAAACCTCCACTACATCCCACTATTTTCATAAAAGCTTTTACCCCAGTCCAAATACCACATTATTTACGGACTGTTATTGTCTCTGAGTCTCCTGAGTAAAGATAGCTTGCTGCAAGGTACTCTGAAGGCAGAGAGATCTTGGCAAGTGCTCCAGTAGCCGTAACTCTAAATAATTAGCATGAGTCGCAGCTAGGATTGAGTAACTGCAAAACTGCACTCTGAGTCTACTGATGAGAACTAGAATTCAAATGCTCAGGAGACAGTTGGTTAAGTCAAACAGAATAGAACACTGGCTGGATTTTTCTTAATTCAGATAGCAACTAAGTATGGACTTGGACACAAGGTAATAGGTGCTTCCCAAGATCCTCTCAGTTGCCGTTATGAGGAAGGCAATATTCCTGTGATTGCGTGACAGGGTTTAGTACGTGGCCAATCACACTAGGGCCACTAATGAAACTAGTGCAATTAGTGGTAAAGCGTGCTTTGATAACGTGTTTCTCTGGGTGCTCTGTTACACAGGGTAAGCCCAGCAAACCCTTCCTTCTCTGAGAAGCATGGATGCTTTTACAGTGTTAAGTTACCTTAACATATTTTGCATACATCTGTTCATCCAGAGGGAAGCTTTGGACATTTCTCTCATCTCTGGCATGGAAAGTACCTAATTTAATCCATTTGTTTGTTGGATACCTAGAAAAGAAACAATGGAGCCAGCAAATGAAGTGCAAGAACCCACTGTTTACAGACATTTGCTGAAGTTACTCAAAATGCCTTTTCACAGAAAACCCCCCCTTTTTTTTTTTTTTCCAGTTGCAAGATAGCAGCAGTGTGTTTTTTCTTATGGAAAGAACAGTTGCAAAATAAAGCTAGTCCCAACACAAAACCTCAGCAGCACCTCTTCACAAACTTAAAACAGTGTGCAAGCCCATGAAGGATTAAACTCTTCACTTGATCCAATTACTGAAATTCAACCAGCCTACAGTAAAGTTTCTGGAACTGAAAAAAAGTCATCTCAAATGAACACCGAAAAACGTGACACACAAGTGATAGGTTGTAAATATTATTGTAAGCAAGCAGCAAAAAACTGTGAGCACAGTAGAGTTAGAAATAGGCAACAAGTGTGGAAAATCAGAATCCACATGCTTTAAGCCCCGAAGTGAGGGGTTTTGATACACTGTGCAAATGTCTCCTCTTTCACATACCACAGTAATTTGCTCACTCCCAAAAGTATTGGGGGTACAACACTGCTTAACACACAATAAAGCCACCCTTTAATCAGCCATTCAGCAGTATTCTTACCCCTTCCACTTCCTTGGTGGTGCATTTTTTTTTTTTTTTTAATAAATAGCCTGGGGGTTTTTTGGACAGAGTTCAGCATTGAAGATAGTTTAAGCCACGTGAAAATGGTCTAGAATGACAAGGGAGGAGACAGCCCACAACCCCAGTAGCATTCTGTTTAGAAGTGTTCATTTTATGATCTGCCATCCACTACCTAGCTACTGTATTAATTTCTACTGCTTCGTTGCCATTTTTCAACAAGTTTTTCCTCTTAATTTTTAAGGTGGCAAGAAAAAATACAGAAAGCATGGAAAGAACTCAAACCGTATCTTCTAGGACCTCACAGTTGCCTTTCCATGGAAAAAATGCTAGTAATTGATCATATGCACAAGGAAAATTGATGTAATTTCACAATGAATTACACTTTGCACAGTAACAGGCATACAGACATCATGTTTTACAAAGACATCTATTTAATAATGACTTCATTTTTCATTCAGAAGAGCAGGTTTTGATAACATACCTGTCACTGATAGACACCAGAAAGTCTTTAGGAGTGGAAGAGAATAATTCGTGATTTGCAATGTCAAGCTGCTTTACTTGGACTGGTTCACAGAGCTCAATAACAAACCTTGAAGACAAAAAGGAAATTCTTTTTAAAAAAAGCACTTTTCCTTCTACAGTTACAATCCTTTACCTTGTTACTGCATCCTTCACTGGGTATAAAAGAACACTACAAAAATGCTGTACAACAAGGAGGCATCACTTGTTGCTCCCTTCAAAACCACCAGTGACATTTACCTGCTATCTAGCTTAGGAACGTCTACCTGGTACTCAAAGGCAAGAAGTCACAGAACTAAAAACTAAGGATAGCAAACATTTAAACCACACCTGAAATACCAGTTAGTACATGGTAAATGCCAATGATGTGTCCTATAATTATCTGACAGCTGGGTAAAGAAACCAAAATCTTTACTTAACACTCAGTGCTTTCTCTTCTGCAAGATTATAATTATGCAAAACCTACAAATACTAAAGTGAGTAAGTTATTCGCTTAAACTTACTTCTCAGTATCAGAGACAGAATTCTAGGGGGTACACAATAAATCCAAAGTTCCTTACACAAATATTTCAGGCAGACACACCAAGGTCAAGTCAGTCCCACAGGATACATACAGTCCCATCGCGATGAAAAACTATAACCACTCCTGTCATACAAGCAAACCTCAGTAACCTACCAGATTTTAGTACTGCAAGGATTTAGCATATAAAGATCCATGTTTTCCATCAAAATAGCTGAAGTGCTCTGTATAAAGAAGAGAATTAGTATTTTAAATAGTATGGTAGAGAATAATGCAGCAACAACAGGTTCCCCCTTCTCCCCCACCGAAAAAATAAGTTTGATATTAGTTACATAGACTAATACCAAGTTTCATAACATTCTAAGCAAGATAGTACACAGGAGACATTATGTCATGTGTGGGCAATCACAAATTATTAACTATGGCGAGCTATTTAATACAGCTTTGTTCAATTTCTGTACTGAGTAGACTCTGCATCCCCTTCCAAATTCACTTAAAGACATAAATTTCTCTATCCATCCCTCTTAAAACAAGGGACAGGTGATAGATGTTCAAATTTTGTAAATCAAAAATGACAATAAATCCAAACATAAAAATAAAGGATTACTTCAGAAATCAGTGTTGAGTTTTAAGTAAGTGTACTTTGTACTTCTTGCTTACGAGAAAACTGAAATAATACACACTAATAATTAGTAAATGCTTACCTTTGCCTCTGGATTTGCTGCCAGAATTTTGGCACCACACTCTACAGAGGCATAGTTATTTCTATTTTTCTGGACTTTTTTTGTGGAATGCTGCCCACCAACAGCAGAAGGGTGCATTGACTGACCTAGGAACAAGAAAATATTGCTACTATAATAAACCACACAAACAAACAGTCTTTTCACTTTCAGGGAACTGCTGCTCACTGCTTTTATATAATAAATCCTATCAATTATGTAGTTCTAATAGAAAAAATGAAGTTCCAGGCACCATTCCAAATTCAGACAGTTTCACCATTCAAATTTGAGACAAGATGAAAGTGGCCTGTATTTAGACTAAATCAATGAATCCTGAACTTACTCTTTTCTTTCTCTACTTCCATGACTTTCTTCTTCCATTCATCAAACGTTGGAATGTCTCCAGGGTCCTTTGGGGTTATCACCGACGTAGGGTCAATTTCTCCAGTTTTCTTATAGTCTTTCTGCAAAAGAAAAGCCACCAATTGTCAATCTTTTAAGTACCAAGCATGAAAACAAAGTTTAACCTGAATGCTTAAAAAAAAAAGCATGCTCCCATCAAGTCAACAGCAGATACATCATTTGAAGCCATGTTAAAAACTTAGTGCCAAGGTACAAGGTAAGCTCACAAGCCAGAAAAAAACCCAAAAACCAAACATGTAATGATTTCCTCCCAGAATTATAGATGCTTTCACTGAGAGGCTGGTAATTTTTGTGGGTAAACTAATACATTTTGTAAAACATAAGCCTTCTGTCTCATAAAACGCCTGCTTTTTCTTCCAAGATTTTTGCTTTTCCTCCTCCTAAGGAGGAAAGGTTTCCCTGTAACAGAAATCTTCAGATATGAATGCTGGTCATGATGGAATTCGAGGTCCCCTGGAATTTTTGAATACCTCAGAAAACAGCAGAATGAATTATTATTTTTAAATGGTTTATTTAGTGTTTAATGATCAAAGAAATAATGTTTTGGACTTGCCTGACAAAGCAGCAACCCTTTTAAGTTAACCACATGCTGTACCATTTCAAGTCTTAACTTCTCCTTTGTACAAACACATTTCCAGCACACCACCAGATGCATGAAAAGCGTTTGCTAGACATTTCAAGCACAGAGGTAATTTCGTAGACAACGTTTTACAGGTAGTTTCCAGAACGACTGCTTTGTAGGTTGACATTTTCTCTACGCTTAAGAATTATTTTATATATAGTTCTATAGCTGAAAGCCCTCAGAAGAGTCAAACCCACATATTTGGACAGAAGTGACAACAGAATTCTTCACATGACTACGCTGCAACAGAACTTTTGATTTGGTGTACCCAAAAATACAACCCCACATATACTTAGAAATGAGAGAACCTAAGAAACAACACCCTGTATCTTCTTCTCCCAAGAAAGTTCAGGATATAAGATCCTCCTTGGACTATGACAAAAGTGGTAAGTGAAAAACCAACTGACTAAGCAATGCCAAATCATGCTCTTGCTTAACTACGACATCAGGCCAATGCCAGAATTATTTCAATTGCAGTCTTTAAAGCATTAGGTTAAATAAAGAGAATCTTGGCTTGTTTTTTGTTGTTGTTTAATAATGTTTACACCAATTTATTTGTAGTAAGTTCTTTAGAAGACTCTTCCTGACTGCATGTCATTATTTTAAGGCACATTGGACTCTGTTCAATAATCTTGGGAAAAACTTCTTAGTTTGAAAAGAGAGTAATACCAGTTATTAGTGACAGTTTAAATGTGATCTCGAAATAGCAAAAAACGTATTGCCATGGCCTTGGTCTTTACCTACTTAAAAAGAAGTATCCCTTAGGAAGTGCCTCGCAGTAAGAGCATAAAAGCAGTCATACAGTGAAGTACAAAAGACCTGTCTAGCTAGGTATCCCACTTTAACAGCGGCCAAATAAGACACCTAGGAAAGAATAAGAACACACCAAACATTCTGTATTTTTTCCAAGTGTCATCTTCGCCTCTAGCCACCTGCTTGCTACTCAAGAACTTCCTGACAGTCAAGATTCAATCCTTAGATTTCTCTTCTATAAGCTTACCTGGACCATGCAACACTCACCGCATCCTTTTCTTTTTTTTTTTCTTAACCTATGTAAAAATATTCAGCATCCACAACACCCTGTGGGAAGTCCCAGCTTAACTATCTGTCACAGGAAGAACATTTCTTCTGGATTCTGCTCCAGACAGTTTTATTTGATTTCCCCAAGTCTTGTATTTGAAGACTTAGCTCAGAAAAACTGCTCTGTGCCAATGGATTAACCTTGCTGCCCTTTTCTCCCAGTTTATTATACCCTTGTTGAGATGGCAATATTGGAACTGCACACAGTGCTCAAAATGTGAGGGCTGTGCATTTATACAGCAACAATCAGAAAAAAGAGAGGGATATCACTCCTCTTTAACAATGGTGACAACCTAACAGAGGGCATTAGGCTCCCATGCGCACTGAGTGGGCATCAGTACCACTTACCTCCCTTTTTAAGTTCTCTGAGGCATTCAGAGCCGATTTTTGCTCATCTGCCCCCTTTTCAGCTGCTGAAACTTTCGACTCAAACTCAGATTTTGTCTTCTTTCCCTTGCCGTGTGAAGATGATATATTCTCTATATGTTGACCTGCAAGGCTGAACGTTTTAAGAGTATTAGGACCTATAAAATGATCACATTTTCAGCCATATGCAATATTAAACACACACACAAATATGTAGATAAGCAAGCACATGCAAATGTTTGTTGCAAGGCCAGGACAGAAACAATTACCTTTAAATTATTCAGACTCACAACCTACTTCAATACTCACCTTTCTGGTGGACTGACAAAAGAGGAAGGCTCACTCTGAGGGTCAGCCTCAAGTGTCCCACCAATATCACAGTCAGGTTCTGACTGCTCAGCTTCACTAGAGCTGACTACAGGGATATCAGCACGGGAATTTTCTATTGCACTGAAGGGAAAGAAATAACATGCTTTTTACCCTTCTGATAACACAAGTAAGCCTGCTAATCAACCACATAACTAAAGATATTTGAAAGTCTTAAAAAAAGCAACAGTCTCACAGAAATAATTAAGAAGAGAGGAATGAAGTATGCTATCCTTGTGAACTGCATTCTCAGCTGGACCCATGCAAGAATGAAATTTCCTCTTCCAGACTGTCTCAAAGGAACACAGCTAGCTTCTCATCTCCCAGACTCTCATCTAACATCCTACCAAACACTGCCATGGATATTTTTTCCCATCATCACTACAAATTAAGAACAGCTTCAGAGTTACCTGACTGCCAGCAATTTTCCCTTTCAACAAAGGAATCAAACACAAGACTGAGTCCCTCACTAAAAGCTCCAAATGTTCCCAAGCCAATGGGCAGCAGTCAGAACAGAACTTGGCTAAAACTAGAGAAGAAAAAGGGTGGCATAACAATATACAGTACAGCCAGACAGACATCCTTTCCACTAGGTTTGGTTTCTTTTTTTTGCTAGTGTAATAAAAATGACGTAACCCAGCAGACCATTATCCAAGCTGCATCAGGAGCCCCAAGTAGCTAAACTGCTTTACTTCCTCTCTCCAGAAATGCTGCACACACTGCATCAGATAAATCTTAAGGCAAAAACTGAAAAGAAAGCCTCCCTATATGCTCTTTAGGAACGATGGAGTGGGTGGGGAGGAGAAGATGGACAAATAATAACTTTCAGTTGATAACATCTGTGACTGTCCTCTCCTCTCCAGTACAGGGATGACTTTCATATTGATCTAGAATGTTATAAATCAGATCTAAGCAAAAGCTTTATTCTGCCTCCTAAATTGCAACATAAGCTTTCTTCAACGTCAGCAGCAAACTAGGTTAATCCAATATCACGACATAGAGCTGCCAAAATACAAACAGCACATTGGAAACTTAGAAAGGGATCTTTTGGGTTCTCTGACTGCTACAATTATCAACAAAAGCAGCTACAACAAACCTAAGGAGCCAATTTTAGTGCCTTTCATATTATACAGTTGCCACAACATAAAACAAAAAACTCATAGGTATTGAAGACATTTTGCTATGTAGCAAAATCTACCAAATACCAGGAATACAAGAATTTATTAGCTACAGAGAGTAGTTTCTCTGAATGCCCCAAAATGCAAATATCTGAGATGCACACAGTATAGCTCTGCATGTAACACTTTAATTACTGAAGTAAGGTTGACCACTACACTTAAAATTAAAAAGCTCCACACATTCTTGATCTCAGTGGATAGATGACAGTATGAATAATTATCAACTGAATAAAATATGGGACAAGTGTGAGCTTAAAAATACCCTGATATCAGGGTGTACCTGGCTGGCCTCAAGTAACTCATTTTGGCAGAAGGTGAGCAGCACAAGCCTAAAAGCTGTAGCGCTCCCTCTCCTTTGGGTACTTTCATTTCTTAGCAGCTTTGCCTTAATTTCTAGAGTGCACTACCAAGCTCACTTTGCATGGCAGGTGTCTTTACTTGCAGCTAGAAGAGAAGCTCACATTATTTTTCAAATTGTCCCCAGATTAGGTCTGGATGGAAAAGCTACAATCAGTGCTGTCCTAAAAAAGATTCATTACAAAGTAAAAAGATTTTGGAATAAAATTACTTCCAGAATATTCTAAGAGGTCCTGCTGGAATATCAGACCAGTAACACCTAAGACAGCTGGACTTTGTTACATTGATGGGAATCAGCATCTAAAACAGGAAAAATGATGTCTGAAGATAACAAATGCAACTGAGTCTTTTTATAGATCTTGTTTAACTATGGAGTTGGACTACAGCTGTTTTGGATATTAGAGAACAAAAAAAGAGACCACCTATTACTATTTAAAACTAAAGTAAAGTTTGAAATACTGTATAAATATGCATCTCTCCCATATTCATTCCACCCTTTTCTTCCTGTAAATGGTACTAGTGTCACACTACTGCCGAGCATTAACTAATACATCAGAGTTCATCACTCTAGTATTCCCCAGCTACAACAGCAAGGCTATTTTCAACAGTTACAAGACACCAAGCTTAAGGTTCAAAAGAAAATAACATCCTGAATCTCCTTCTAAGACCTGACAATAGTAGTACAACACGTTACACAAGCAAATCAGTACAGCAGTCAACAACAGCTATGAAAACACGCTGAAATTACATTCCAGTTTTGCTTTATAAAGACAGTAAATTTGGGAAACTGGATTTTTGAATACTTGCAATTAAAGACACTGAAATACCAACAGGTGCTTAAGCCTTAGTCCTAGCAGACTAGGCAAGATTAGTCAGCAGACAAGATTTCCAGACCTTTTCTACGGTAAAGAAACTAAATTTGGCAAACCAGAAAATCTGGACTTTTTGAAAAACCCCAAAACACCAAGGAACAAGAGCAGTCTACTTCGTTTTTTAATGTGTTACATTTTTATCTATCAAAGTATTAGCTCTTTATCAGCAGACAAGCAGAAGAATGTATTCCCCTTAGCACACATTAAAAACCCCAGGAGAATTTTGTGAAAGTACCTAGAAGTACATACACATGAATTTCCACACTACAGTTCACATTTGATAGCACAGCATTCCACAAAAAAGGGAAACAAAATTAAGCACATCAACTCTTGAAGACTGCCTGCAGCAGAGTTAGATTTGCAATACACTAAGTATCAGAATTACAAACTGTCGGCTGCGCTTATACTAAAATTTGCCATTTCATCAAAAGTCTCTTCATACCAGAAATTATTTAAGACTGTTCTGTTGTAAGTCCTGGAATAAAATTCTGCAAAGTTCTTTCTTCACTGAAAGGAGAGGCCATGGCTGAAGCAGCCTTGATGCTTGTTATCACAGATGTGAAACCACATTTGTGAAGGGCAGAAATCCTAATGGTAAAGACCTGAGGGTTTTTATAGTACAGATTATCTAGCACATAAAAGACATTAGATTTTTTTCTGTCAAAGCAGCAGGTTAGAAACTGATAATGGCAAAAATATGACACTTCATGAAAGTACACAACTCCTAATCCACGCACTGAGTAAATGATGACATATTCCATTAGCACTGACATCATAAACCAAAGTACAGCAAAACAATCACATGCAGCAGTCTAGTCTTACCCCTACTAAACCTGAAGAGGTAACCCTTTTAATAACATCAGAGTAAGTAATATTCTCTGAAAGACCAAAACAATAAAGTAAGAAAAGCTTACTCGGGCTGCGAGACTGGAGGTATCTCTGAGGTAGGTGAACTGGAAATGTTTTCAGTGCTTGCAACTATGCTAGATGAAGCTTCATTTAAATCTACTGAAGAGGGAGTCTCAACTTCAGGCTGGCTTGCTTCACTCAGTTCTGCAGTCTGTGAAAACGTTACAGATGAACATACATTTTTTCAAAACTTGAATAGGAAAAGCCTTGTCGTGGGCCCCAGCTGTCAACCAAGTACCACACGGCCACCAGGACAAGCATTCATACAATAACATCTAGTATGGAGTTTTAACAGTTCAGTAGTTCAGATTTCTGTCTGAAAACCAGACAATCCATCTGAATGAACCTGAAGATCAGACAGCAAGACAGTTAAGAAACAAATTTTCTTTCTTCACAAACCTAGGTGGTATTCAGTGCAACTCTGGGATAGTTGCAACCTTCTTCCTTAGTCTGCAATAATAACGTAAAAATATTAACTGGAGAAGGCACATGCAACTGCTTCCTCAACTATGCATTTCTATAAAGAGACAGCCACAAGAAAACAAGCTTGAATATTTCAACAGCTGAAATAAATGGTTCTCTTTGCATGCTCCATTACAGTAAAATTTACGTTTCCTAGTTTCATCCTAAGCTCAATTTTGGGGAAGGCTTTCAATTTTATCACTACAACAGAGGTCCAAAATGATTTAGAAGTTGTGATTTAGTGTTGTAACTGAACAAAGAGATAAATCGCTTCACACTTCTGAGAGTCTAGTAGTCTTAAGCCTTATTTATTCTAGGCCTTCAGTTTTCATAAGCCCCTGCACAGCATAATCAAAATAAGGCTTTCTAAATCTGGAAGAGTACGTAACTGCTGAAACAGGTCAGGTTAACCCTTGCACCAATAGAAAATACTATTAAATGAGAGCCTCTTGTAATAGGTGGATTACTCCGAGTCATTTAACTGAAGAGGCTTGAAATGTCTTACTACAGAATTACAGCTCTAAACCATGCAATGTATGATCAGAAGTATGCCCTATATATGTTGTCTTGTAATCTACAAAAATATGTATCAAACAAATCATCTTTAACAGTGAGCTTTGTAACATTTAACACTGAGCACTGACTTAACAGCATTAATGGCACATAGAACTGAAACACAACCCTTTTTCAATTTTAGCAAAGGAAATGAAACTGACAGAAGCCAGGAAGGATCAAAGCTATAAAGGACTGCTACGATCACCAAGTTTCATCTATGTAAAAGACCTCAGTGTGAAGGTTTTTTATGTTTTAAAGAGACATCCATATCTATAACACCCAATTTTAATTTATCTTGGAAAGATTTATTTAGTCAGTACCTACAAATATTAAATTACTCTTATACACATTTTCTCCTTCATTGGAAACATGAGTCTGACAGCAAGCCTATGTGCAAGTGAAATGTGATAGAGCTATGAGCTTTAGATAGCCAAAATGAAAGACTCAGAAATTCAATAAGCATTTGAAGAGTGTATGGAGACAGCGAATGAAGTAACAGTCTTGCCTGGACAGATTTTGTAAAGTCATCAAGTAGCTCTTCTGTAGAGTAACTCCGTGTACTTGCGCCTGCATGCTCAGACTCCAGTCTAGGACCAGCCTCTTCCCCCTAGTATAGTAAAGATAAAACAACAGTAAGCATGCAGTAACACCGGCCTTCTGTTCTAGTAGGAGGATTTACCTTTGGTACAGACTGAATAATACTACCTTTACAACCACCAAAATATCAACAAGAAGTTAAGCTACATGAATCTTCAGAGCTACCGCCCATGCATGTTTAAAATCTCATCAGTACAAAGACTACAGCAAGTTAAAACAACCCAGTTAAACCTTCACAGGAAAGGCCACTTAGCATTGTCTTAAATAGTTCAGTTTGTGTGCTAAGGAAAGTTAATAATTCTGCTATGATTTCCCATGTTGACAAATCCTCCCTATCGCCATGTCGCCCAAAATAAGAGGGGGGGAAAAAATGATCCTAAGATGACTTGCAACAGACAAACATCAAAAAGTAACATTTGGCACATTTCAGTTATAACAGTCTTATCAGCAGAACTAGAATAATTTCACAAGTCTGGTGTAACCTTTTAAAGTAACTTTCTCTTTTACAATCAAGTGCAGTGAATTCACAAAGTAAAAAAGAATACACACTTGAGAAAGAAAAAGTTTTAAAACCACCAGACTGTAGAACTAAAAAGAACTCACTTGCCCCTCAAACTTATTTTAAGTTGTGACCACAACATATGCAAGTTATTTTTGAGCAATACTTTAAAATACGGCCAGAAATCTGGTAGAAATTCACACATCGCTCGTTTCATAAGGGCTATCTAAAATCCTGTAGTCAAATACTGGAAGTGCTAGTGTTCGGATCCAAAATGGACTGCTATGCTATTCAAGATTGCATGATCATATTAATTTGAGAGAGTTAAGGCATACACTGGAAGAGCAGGAAATACAAATTTGTGCAGGCAAATCTTAAAGACAACAGCTAAGCAACATTTTTCCCCAAATATTATTAGCTCACATCCTAGTCCCTAAGATTAAATAGCATCAATGCCTCAGAGACAAGTGATCTAAGGAAAACTGATCAAGGGCTGCAAGACTGCTCCTTTTGAGCAGGACAGCTCCAGCAGCCTAGCTAGGAGTAATAGAAACATGCTTAAGATTTCTCATACACCCAAGAGATTTTTCTTTCATGAGTAAAAAGTACACTATATTTCACATCTTTGGGTTTAAGTCGAGAAATCTGCTTAACAATGCAGCCATGTTAATAGAATGCAGGGAAGAATGTTGCAAAAAAAGTAGGAAAACATACACCAGTGGCTTCCCAGTCTCAAAGCTTACTTGATTTTTCCAGTTTTATTACATCAGCCATTAAACTCGAGCAGGACTTTTTTTCAGGCAACCAGAATAGGACCGAATGCTATTTGGCCACACAAGCTGGCAAAAAAAAAATACAGCTACCCTAGATGTTGAAATGCTTAGGAAACCTACAATGTTTAAAGTATTTTTTTTTCTGGTCAGGCAGCTCCCCGCTTGAGTCAACTAGAATGCTCAATGCACATTTTCAAGGTTTGATGTGACATATAAAAGCTTTCTTGTAATGAGAACCATGATTAGCACTACTAGTGATTGATGCAAGAAATGGGAAGACCAGTAACATCGAAACTACCCATGCTTATCATAGGACTGATTCTTTACCTGTATAAATAAATGAATGACATTATGATGACTTTCTGATATGACTCAACTGCTTGGGAATTCACTATGAAATTGCAACATGCAGAAACCTGTAATGAGTTAATCAGGTTGGGACAATGACACTCAATTTAACCCAAAGCGCTGAGTAACATAAGTAAGAAAGGGACACAATGTTGTTTATTAGCATTTCACGTATGTATTTTAGCTTTGTTAATTTTTATTAAAGAGGAGGAAAACAAACTGATAAATATTGACTTGATAAAATAATTAATCTTAAATCTTCCATATAGGATAGCAATAATTTGTGCACTGGGTTTTTAACACAACACAGATGCAACTGGCATACTGTGGCCCAGACTTATCCAGGACATCACCTCTTATCATGGTCTCTACAGAGCCACATGCTATCCCTGATGACTCCTTCTTCTACCGTCTGCACCCAAACAAAAACCTTAAGCCACCATTACTAGCTTTACTATTTGTTCCCCTGCACCCACAAATTGTCCAGCTGTTTTGTCCTCTAACAGCAACAAACTTGAAGTAAAATAAAAAAACTTGGGAAGATAATGTCACGGTTCACAGAACAACTGAGTACATTAAACATTCTGGCCATGAAGACTTTATGAATCAAAGCGTATAAATCAATTATTTTTTTTTAATTTAACATCAAGTCAGACTGAGTAGCTAATTAACATGATTTATTCAGCATACCTTTTCCTGGACATTTTCGTCATCATTTGCCAGGGCACAAGCATCAGCTGAAGCACATTGCACTGCCGAAGACAGACTGTCTTTACAAAAGACATGCCAAATAGGAAGCCTATTAAAAAAAAAAAAAGGGTAAAAGTCTTGATTTAAAATTAATAAGTAGTATTTTAAAATTCCTTCTGCATTATCTCCTTCCACCTTTTTCCAGTTGTCCACATGAGGTGCCTAAAAAATAAAGATACGCACGTGCAGTGGCCAGAGGCTGCTGAAAGGCCACAAGTACCCAGCTTTGTCTCACGGGGTGCTGTCAAAGACTGCT